GGCCGGCGAGCAGGCGCTTGACGTGACCGGGCTTTTAAGCCGCCGCTCGTCTGGCTCCGAGCACAGGCTGCGCCTGTGCCTCTGACACACCCGGCAGAAACGCCGCACGGCCGCGGCCGCGGGCACAGCGCGGGCCCTGAAAACTGGCTGCGAGCGGCGGTACCTGTGTGACTGCTTGGGGGGTGATTCCCGCAGGTGGCTGCTCCTGCGACTTTGAATGCTTTTCTTTGTTTATTACAGGTAACCGTGGGTGATCAGACAGCTGTGGTAAAAGATACAGACCTGTCTGAAGAGATGCTGTGGAGTGTGCCCTTCAGTCTCTGGAGGAACGCAACGTTGAGTGTGATGTTGCAGCTCATATAAAGAGCATAAGTGTTCGCTCATAACGTTTTTCTACTGAATGCTATATGGACTTCAACAATCAAGCAAAAATGTTGGTGGGTAAGTAGTTCTAGAGAAGCAAGTTCTGTGGACACTAGATAATCCAGTCAGACTTTCTCTGCAGACTGGTGTCCTTATGTTCTTTTCTGTACCCCTTACATGCACTTTTCTGGTTCTTCCCCTTCTCTTTCACAATTCCTTCTATTTAAGTCCTTTCCTCCACTCTCCAAAGGCATCACTTGGACAGTGATACTGGGTTCCCAGTGGTCTCTTCTGCAGGAGTTTGACAGGAAGTACAGTCCTACCTGGCAGCGCGCTGTGGGAAGGAATTTTGTGACTCGCAAGACCGGTCACTTCGTCCTCCTCTGCCGGGGTCCTGTTACTGTTGTTCTCCTCAAGGGTGCTTAGAGCCCTGGACTGTTTCTCAAACTCTTGTCTTGTTACTCAGTTGTGTGCTAACGGGACAAAGCCTGTGCCTTTAGCCTTCCTGAGAAAGCAGACCTTTGGCCGTCAAGGGCAATGGCAGGGATTTTGCTAGCATGTTTTTATTGTAGTTAGGGGAAAATAACAAAAAAAACCAAACAACCCACCCAAACTTTCTTGTATTTATTTTCTTTCCACAGCCAGCTTCTTTGCTAATAAAAGTGTTGTGTTCTGCCTTTAAAAGTTTTATGGCTGTGTACCTTCTTTTTCTAGTATTGCTCATGCTATTTATTTCCCTGTGAATGTGGATGACTAACTTTGTTAGAAAGTTTCTTTTCTCAAACCCAAAACATCTAAACACTACGGTAACCACCCTCAAAATTTGGTCAGTAATTCCAAGAATAATAGACCTAAATAGGGAGCAA